AAAAAGTGTTTTCCCGCGTGTCGTCTCACTCCTAAATAATTAGAGATATTTAGTTCGGATTTATCATGATAATTAGGGGAATTCATGATGATAAAGAATATTCTCGAAAATTGCAAGTAATTTTTGAAATAAATATTGAAAAACGAAATTACAAAAGTTGGATTTTTGGCCGCTCCTCGGAGAGTCTTCCTCTATCACCCCTCTAAATATGAACCCGAAATATTTTATCCTCTCAAAATGAGACGTCTATACTGAACCGTTCAAAACCCCTTTTTTCCGTATATTTAAACAATTTTTTTCAATAATTATTTATCAAAATTTCTCTCAATTCCGAGAGGACCGCTGGTCCCAGAGCATTTCTCTATATTTACCAAAAAATCCCGACTTAAAATGTTCTTTTCTTTTTAAATGAGATGTCTATCACGAAACCATTATTTTTTCCCGGATGCCCTTAAGGTACAATCCCAGGTAAAAAAGTTCCCGGGAATTTCTCGGTCCCACAGTAAGAAACGAAAAATTGAAAAGTATTAAAAAGATTCTATTCTTTTGAATGCCATTTCTGTCCAATACTTTTCTATCCAGTGAGAGCAATATAAATAGTAACGATATCAATCCTCTTGAATACCCAGTAAGAAAGCAAAGATTAAGAAGCATTGAAAAAATTCTATCCTTTTGAATACCATTTCTGCCCTATGCTTCTGAATTCCGCGACAGTAGTATAATAATATAATACTAATATTGTTGACATATAGAATGTTCAATTACTTTCAAATAACTGCACTCATGAATTTATTTGCTATTTTAAAAAGGAATAATTATTAAATTATCAGTTAAGAGGGTTAAAAGTGTTTAAAGGTCTCTGAAATTTTTAGGTTATGATTTATTGTCTAACAGAATAACGGCCCTGACTCGTTTAAATGACGTTAAATTGGTAAACAATCAATTTTTCAGCAAGTTTTTCTTTGAACACAAACACTTTTTACAAAATCTGCCACTGTATGTATCTTTTAATTTACAAAAATCCAGAAGATTGCTTGAATGCATGCAGAAACGCGGTTCCAATGAAAAATTGAAAAGTGATATAATGACAGGCTGTAATAATTTCGGATGGGATTGGAAAGCATTCAGAAAAAAATTTTGTCTTTGTTAAAAATTACAAAAAGAATTGAATAGCATTCATTTTTAGACGAAACGTGGTCCTATCATGGTATAGAAAAGTATTTGACAGAAATGGCATTCAAAAGTATTGGATAATTTCTACTACACCATACAGAGTTTGAATTATTTCAATCCTTTTCAATTTTTCCTTTCTTACTGGACCAATTCCCGGGAACTTTTTCACGTGGGATTTATTAATTTGTAAGAAATAAAAATTTAAAAAAATTACTAATGTCAAAAAATTGTGGAAAATTAAATTATATCTAAAATTTAAAAAAAATTTATGTTAAAAAATTAGATAGGGGAGACTGGGGTAAACCCGTTCACTTTTTAACTAATATTGGTTAAATTATCTTTAAAATTATTTTTAAACATGTTTTTTAATCTACAAAAATTTATTTATTTTATCCATTTCTATAAAAACAATTATTATTATTAGATATTATTATTATGTATTTTATATTCCTCAATTATATAGGATATTAAAAATTTTTGGCAATAATAATTTTTCTTTTTTAAAACAATAATTACTTATTTTACCTACTGCTGTAAAATCTAAAATCCCTATTTACGACGTACGTCAAAGCTGTCAATTAGTATAGCGAAATAAAATTGACGCTCGTAGAAACATCGTATTATTGTAAAGAAATTTTTACTTAAATCCTTATTTAATATATAGAATTTATATCCCTTCTTTTCGATAATTTTCTGCTTTATTTTTTTCTTTTCAAATTATCCAACACTTTCGACTGATTCTTAACTCTTGGGCGGGCAAGCGGGGTTTAATGGACCCCGCGAGTATCTATTTTTCTTTCTCCGAATCCGCATGAAAGAATGAGTTCATCCTAGAAATTCTGTTAAATAGACTAAAAATACATCCAATGTACACGGTAAAAAATTTACTATGGAGACTACAGAACCACTTAGTGGAATAGACAAAATTTACATATTGTACTATAAACAAATAACAAAATAGTGTTTTTCTTTTAAGAAATTTGAGCCTACACCAAATAATCCTGCCTTGCACTAAGAACGGTGTGTGTTGTATTTCCCAGGGTATTTTGCAAATCTATCTATTTGTTAAATTTAAAATCTTAATTATCATTTTTATATTTTAATGCATTAAAATTCATAATATAATAAAAAGAAAACAAAATATACAAAGATCTACGTTTTTTAAGGTGTTATACATGTTATGGAGTCTTAAAAAAGGGTGTTTTTCAAAATTTTTTATGAGTACAGTTTTAAATTATTGTTGGCAACATCGGCTTGCTTTTGGAATAAAAAATTTTTTTTTCATAAACTTCATAAGATTATCTAGTGAAGTACACATTATTATAATTTTAGAATTTTTTTTTGGAAGAATTGTGAGACTTGGAAAAAATCGTATTTTTCACCCAAAAAAATCGACTTTAATTATTGATAAAAAATCCTGTTCATCAATTCTAAAAATCGTGTGTACTTCACTACATAATCTAAGAAGCTACAGTTAAATTTTCAGGCCAATCGAATGAAAAATTTTTGAGTTCTACTGGTCGCCGATTTGCAAAACATGGTTTCGAGTAAGACTCGTTTGAAGTAATAAAATGTTCTATTTTGACACTCCGCAATTGATCCAGAAAAAATAATTAAAAAAAAAAATATTTCCAATTTCCAAACTTGTTTCTAGGGATGTTATAGTATATTTTAAGCCAATAGAGAAAAAATTTAAAAATAAAAAATGCCAAACAGGTATAACCCCTTCAGCGTTTTTAAAGCGAGGTCCAATGGACCTCGCTTGCCCGCTGATTTTTTTAGCTTGCCCGCCCAAGGGTTAAAAAACTTTTTACTTTAACAATTTTTAAAAAAATAATTTGACACTTTCTCAAAAAAGGGCTCTCTATCAGAAAAGAGTATTAAATAATAAGTTTTTATTAAAATTAGCAATTTTAATCCTTTTTTTAATTTGACATATTTATATTACGTAGGTACATTTCCCATAAATAAAAATCCCTTTATTAATCTCTTCATGTTAATTTTTTACTTACAAAATAATAGTTTTATAATTTTTACAAACTAAAAATTATTATTTTTTTTCTTATCATACTATTAAACCTTTGCGTAGGCAACCCGCTCAACATTTCTAATTGGACACTTTCTTCCACAAGTCACATTCAGCTCTTAATTTTTATGGTGGAAATAAGATTGTGGCTCATGGAAATATCGTATCGAAACAAAATAAATTTTAATTAATTCTTTATTTATGTATTTTTACTTCCCAGTAAAGAGCCCTTTTTTAAAAGAAAGCGTCAAATTATTTTTTAAAAAATTCTCAAATGTAAAAAGTTTTGTAAAAATCAGTCAAAAGTGTTGGATAATTTAAAAAGAAAGAAAAAAAGCAGAAATTTTTAGAAAAACGGGCTTTTTATTGGAATTCTATATGAAATGAGGATTTAAGTAAAAATTTGTTTGCAATAATACGATGTTTTTATGAGCGTCAATATTATTTTCGCCATACAAATTTACAGCTTTGACGTCGAAAATAAACTTATTACACTTGTTGCCTATAGAAAGGGGTTTTACAACAGTAGAATAGGTAATTATTATTTTAGAATAAAAAATTAATTAGCGACATTTTTTTTGTTTAATATCTTATATAATTGAAAAATAAGAAAAAATAATTAAATTTATTATTTTCAAAAAAGTAAATAAAGTAAATAAATTTTTATAGATTAAAAAACATGATTAAAGACAATTAAACCAATATATAAGGTAAAAATTGATTCATTTTTTTTAAGTTATTGTAATTAATAGATTATTTTTAATTTTATCTAATATTCCAATTACTTATTAACTAATTTTCCCAAACAGTAAAAAACATTTAATAAATTTTAGATATAATTTAATTTTTAAAAATTCTATATATTTGTCATTTGTAATATTTTTATTGATTACAATTTAATAAATTGTACGTCTATAAGTACTAATTAGCAATTTATATTTTTATTCTTTGTAAAAAATTATGTTAATAAAATATCAAAATTTTAAAAAAATTTCATATTTTTATTTTTACATATTTTATATTATGTGCATGATTATAAACAAAAATCTCATTATTTATGTATTTTGGTTTAATTTTTGTTATTGCAAAATAATAGTTTTACAATTTTTAACAAATTAATAGTTACTGCCCTGTTTTATTATACTGTTATGCCTTTACGTAGGCAACCCGCTTTACTCCACCTTTCTGTTGTGCGGCCATTTTTTCCCTATGCCAAGTCACCTACAACTGTAAATTCTCGTGGCGGAAATAAGAATGTGGCTTGTAGAAAGATCATATCGAGACAAAATAAATTCTTCATTTAATTTCGCTTCCAAGTAAAGGCCCACTTTTTTGATTAAGTGCTTAGTTTTTTACAAAAAATTCTCAAAGTGAAAAAATACACGAAAGTGTAAGAAAGTGGGTTGGCAACACTGGACAGTTCTCGACCTCCAACACCGTTAACGGCAAAATGGCTGCAACATACGTATAGACACCTGTCATTACATTAATTTTGTATTTTCAATCCAAACTCGTTCAAAAACGGTTGTTTACTAATTTCGCGTCATTTCAAACAGGCAGTGCCGTTTTTCTTGGGCGATAACTGTAAGTCGCACATAACCCACAAATTTCAGAGATCATCAAATGTTCTTAAGAGGTGGGCGTGAAGAGGGTTCGAAGCCCACCTAGTACATATATGTTATATAAATAAAAATTTCTGTACATGACGCGACGTGCTGTAATATAAGTTTATTTACAATTAAGTAAGGTAACACAAGCAGGAAAATTCTATTTACTTTAAAATTAACAATATTTTCTTTAGATATCCTTGTCCTGTTGGGGAAGAATGTGCACTTTTAAAGGAAGCAGGTTGTGTGGACTTCTTATGTTTATCAAAACCTGTATGTATACAAAAGAAGATGAAAGAAAATATTTGCATTACTGGAAATCCTTTAAGTGATCAAGAAGACAGCATTTTGATTTGTTCTGCTAATAAGACCTGTCCACTTAATTACAGTTGTACCATTGTTCCGGAATTAAGAAAGTCTGTTTGCTGCCCAATAATCTCTCGAATCACAAAATTACTTTCAAGTATGTAACATAAAATTGCATCACTAATCTAGGATTTTTTATTATGTTCCTTAAAGCTTCTTTATTCCCATGCGCTAATCCTTAGATACAATAGTTTTATCAATAAAAGTGTTAAAAGAATTTAACTACTCAACATAATTATCGAAAAGGTTAATGAAATGTTTCATAAAATGTGCTTGAAACTAGACTAATAATAGCCCTTGATAAGAAAGAGGTATTTACTCGACTTCACACAGTAAAGCAAAAAACACATCCATGGACAAATGGCTTTTTAGACCACAAATGTCCGATTGCCAACATCTTTTTTAATTGATGTTAATAAAATCTTACATAAAGTAAATGTAGGAGAAAGGTGTACGAGATGATCCCCATGGGCGAAATGATCCTTTTGAATTTTAGAGAGCCTACTAGCGTCACGTTTTAGCCAAATACGGAAATACATTGCCAATGACTTACATATGAATCACTCAAACTGTCATAACAACACGCGTCATTACAAAAATTTTATTGAGAAAAATAAAAATTTTCATAAGAAAGGTGTGGGTTCGTATCCCACCATGGTACCGTTTTTTCTGAGTTCTTTGATAATTTTAAAATTATTAACCCCTTAACTGTCGGCTGAAAAACACTAAATGTGCCCAGAATGCCAAAAATAAAAAATCGTCCAATTTGTCTGAAACTTGTTACTCAGGGATTTTTGGGGTCGCTAATTATGAATCTGATATCGGTATTTTAAAATTCAAATTGGCTGATCCAATATGGCGGACGGCTTTTTAAAAATTAATCCAAATTACCTAAAATTTGTTACTCGGGGGTTTTTGTGGTCGCTGATTACGAATCTGATGTCGGTTTTTCAAAATTCAAAATGGCGGATCCAATATGTCAGACGGATTTTTAAAAATAGATCAAAATTACCTGATATTTGTTACTCGGGGAGTTTTGGGGTCCCTGACTACGAATATGATGATGGTTATTTAAAATTCAAAATGGCGAATCCAATATGGCAAACATTTTTTTTAAATTTTGGATTCGCTTGAAAATTATCATTAGGGGGTTTTTGGGGTCGCTGATGATGAATCCGATGTCAGTTTTTAAAAATTAAAAATTGCGGATCCAATATGGTGACGAATCGGATATCTGTTTTTAAAAATTCAATATGTCGGATCCAATATGGCGGACATTTTTTTTTTAAATTTGTTTTTATCATAAAAGCAGAACAAATTTTACAAATGCCGGTTTCATAGAACAGCTATAAAGAGCGTGCAAAAATTGAAATTCCATTGAAATGTCCTAACGCATTTTACCTTTCCAATAAGTTCATGGGTAAAGTGGATCTCCACGGTATACCATATTGGATCCGCAATTTTGAATTTTGAAAAACTGACATCAGATTCGTCATCAGCGACCCCGAAAACCCCCGAATGATAATTTTCAAGCGAATCCAAAATTTTTTAAAAAATGTCTGCCATATTGGATCCGCCATTTTGGATTTTGAAAAATCATCATCATATTCGTAATCAGCGACCCCGACAACCCCCGAGTAACAAATTTCATGTATATTGGATCAATTTTTAAAAAAGTCATCCGCCATATTGGATCCGCCATTTTGAAAAACTGACATCAGATGTCAAAGATTGTCAGTTTTCCGGCAGTCAGAGCAAAGTCCGAAATGGCAAAGATCTTTGCCATCGGCAGTCAAGGGGTTAATTAATTTCGAAAATATTTTTCAGATTAAGCAGGTTTCTTTATTTGGGCAGCTGTTCTGTCGATACATATGAAATCCATGAGCTTATAGAGATTTATTAAAGAAAGGGCATAGCAGGATAAGTATGTGTTAGCTGTCCCCGCTCGGATTTTCTTGAATTTTTTATATACAATATGTATTAATTGGAGTAGTAATTTCCCGAAGTACTATTGCACAAAAATAATTTTTATGGGAGTTATGGGGGTAAGAAGAAAAATAAAGAAACACGATTTTCTCGAAAACGGCTGAACCGATTTTGATAAAATTTAAATATGTTATGGCTTTCTTTAAGGCCTTTTAAAAAAAAATTATGAAATTTTTTTTAAATAAAGGCAAAAAAAAATTTTCAAAATTTTTTTGGATTTTTTTTGGGCAAAATTTTTTGAGTACTACCGCTATATTTTTTCTAAATAATTTGTATGTATCCTAGAATTATCACCCAAAATTCCAAACAAATTCAAAGGATAAAACATAGTCAAAATTAACAATTATCGCGAGCATGCACTCATAACCCTGCATAATTTATAATTGACCTTGGCTGAATGATTAAAAAAATGTCGCTTTGTGAAATTTATAACCTACTGTAAAATTAATTTCACAGTAGGTTGCTATCATCTTAAAAATTAATTTTAGAAGCATTACCTTTTGAAAATAATTTTTATAGTATAGTTAATATATATATTTGTGACACGAGTGGAGGTCGAGTGTCACAAAAATGATCGTAAACAAATTGGCTGCCTTTATTCCCGTGTTACTTACGATATTTTTTATTCCTAATGCACAAAAGTGGCGATTTCAGATAGCAGACGACAGGGAGTAAAAGTCATTCACTTGTTCGACTTATATGAAAATGGCGGCCGTTTTCTCCCTTGAGCAAAAATAACGCATGGGATCAGCGGTTATGTTTGCACATGGGAGAAAATGGACGCCATTTTCATATGGTCGAACAAATGAGTGACTTTACTCCCTGTCGTCAGCTATCTAAAAGCGCCATTTTTTTGCATGTGGGATAAAAATATATTTATTAAAATTATGGAGAAATTTCCTTTCAAATTATTTATTTATAAACTTTAAAATTTGATCCAAAGAAAGGTAGATAAAATAATAACAATTATGTATTAGGGCAATTCCACGTAAGATTTAAGTCGACCTCTTGAAATCGGACAAAAATATTTTTTTTCTATTCTGTATCGAAAAAAAACAGATACGTATTTTTTTATTTATGTTTAATTGTCCAAATTTTCAAGTTATGAATTTTCGAAAATTTGGACTTTTAATTGTAGACCTATATTCCGTAGCTTATAAGTCCGAAAATATTGAGTTTAGGAAAAAGTTGTCAAAGAATGAAAGTTTTAGTTTTCTTTCGACTTTTAAGAAATGTAAACAAAAAATTTTTTTTTAATTTTTTTATTAAAAATTTTTTTTTTTATAAACAAATTAATTTTTTTTAACTTTGGGCCGTATTTTTTTTTATTTATTTTTTATTTTTTTGTACCTTATAATATAGAGAAGATTTTCCAAAAAGTCCCGAAATGGGCCTGATGTGTTAAATGAGTTTTAAAATATTTTCAAAAATCACTTGCAAGCATCACAATGGGATTTTTTTACATTTAACTTTTTAAAACTGTTTACAGCGTAGACCCTTTTATTTAAAACAAAGAACACTCAAATATATTAAAAATTATACGCTGTAAATAGTTTTAGAAAGTTAATTGTAAAAAAATCCCACTGTGATGCTTGCAATTGATTTTTGAAAATATTTTAAAACTCATTTAACACATCAGGCCCATTTTGGGACTTTTTGGAAAATCTTCTCTATATTATAAGGTACAAAAAAATATAAAAAAATTGTTAAAGTAGGATTTTAGAAATTTATTTAATTTGTAAATATTAATTTTTAAAAAAACTTTAACTTAACGTGTCCTTCGGACGAAAATCGTATAGGAAGTGGATTCCCCCTCTACTTAGTTATTAATTCAACTAAGAGGTTGAGAACCCTACTCCTTGAATTTGGAGAAGATAGGATAGTTTTATAAGGTATTTTAAATTAAATAGAAACAATAGATTTTAGACAAACGTTAAGTATATTAAATCCCAAAAATCCCTAATACATGAAATATCTACTTTCTGTCCTTCTGAATGAAAGAAAGTGTAGTGTGTGTAATAAGAGTAGTATGTGTGTGGTGTGTAACAAAATACAATACTCACAACTGGACAATTCTGCTTACTAGTCACTTCATTCCAATGTTAATCTTCTTGGTTTTTCTCAATATTTCTTACGTAAGCTTTTCCCGGAAATTCGGAAATACCAGATCTAGGATCACTAGATCGATATTTCACTAGGAGCTTTTTAGACGCGAACTTTTGAATTACACAATTTAAGGACGTGAAAACTAATTGAACAAAGTTGTTTCAAGATTTAAATATTCCTTTATTATGAATTTATTCTTTTTCTGACTTTGATTTTAAATTAAATACTTATTTTTCTCTTCGATTAATTTTCTGATATTATTTCTTTCACTTTATTTTTTACTTGATTTTGTTTCAGCTTCTTTTTAGATAATTATTTTAACCACTTGTTTTCAATTTAAATATGATATATTTCTTTTACTCAACTTCAATCTTTAATTAATATGCGCGATTACTTTGATTATTCACTTTCTATCTAAACTTTTATTCCTTTACTTTTTTGAGAAAATTCCCTTCTTCAGGGATATGAACTTTATCTGATCTACACGATCTACTCGGCCAAATTGCCGGACTTGAACTTCAGGCTACAATGGCCTGGACTAAAACTGCGAGCCTAAACTGCCCGGGCTAACTGCCGGCTACAACGGCCTGGCTTAAACTGCCCAGATTTCCCAGTGTCAATCAATTTTATTGAAAGACGATTTAGTGGGGAAATCGTTTGTTAAGTTTATTGCACTTGACTGTTGTCAAGCCAATTCTGCAAGCCTGCAGATTTAGGCAGTGGCGTGATCCGAGTTCAGTGACTTGGATGCACCACTCCTTATATTGGGCAATTGGCATATTTTAGTATTTCTTAACTATTTCTCAAAAGCAAAGTTAATAAACTCTTCAGAATAGAAAAAGAATAAATAAAGGAATTTTACAATTTATTTTAGATTTCTATCCTTGAATTGTGCATTATTATAAAATATTATTTTATTACTTTGGATGTTTGTTTTTGACAACTTGTTTCAAAGTACCAAAATAAAAGAATGTTCCTTTGGTGAGTTTACAAAGGGTTATTTGT